GTTCATATTCATGAGATTTATAAGTGAACAAAGAAAAGAGCTCCTTGATCCCGGCTCAGGATCACCAACAGGGGGTGGACATCAACATCTTGATTGTCTCCATCTCTGGAAATGATTCAGAAGCTGCAATTGCTGGCCACCTCTTTCCGGCCAGTGAACTGATCTCTCTCCTGCTCTGCATGGTGCTTCATTCCCAAATCATCCAGCAGTTCATTCTGCCTTCTCTGCCCTGACCACTTGAGAAACTTGGAAAAGTTTCTCCCAACCCCACCATCAGTCAAGTCCTTAACCTGATGGATGACCAGGGATATCAAATGAGTCAAATGAATGGCTGCTTAACACACCACCCCATTTAGAGGTAACAATGGAGTACAGAACCCATATTTCCACGAAATCTTCCGGGGAGCTTCTTAACCAGGAACAGAGATGCATAGCAACATTTTTGGAGCTAAGGGCAGTCTTCTTGGCACTAAAGCTATGTACTTTGATTTGTTATAAAGCAGATTTGTAAAATTTTGAAATATAATGATATTACCATTTAGGACCCAGACCCAGTAAAGGACCCTTCCACCACTATTCCTAAAAAATAATTAAATTTATTTAGCTCTGTTTATTAAACTGTTTGCCTTTTAGTTTTTCCAGTCTGAATCATCCTGTTAGAACCAGGCCTTGGTTTTAGACAAGTTTTCTTTTTCTATAATGCTTCTTATTGATATTACTTAGAAAAAAATTACAGGAGGATTCATAGATTCCCAGGCCAAAGAGACCATTGTGATCATCTAGTACGATGTCCTGTATAACGCTGGCCATAGAACTTCCCCAAATAATTCCTAGAGCACATCTTTTAGAAAAAAACGTCTTATCTTGATTTAAAATTTGTCAGTATGGGAGAATCTATCATGACCCTGGGTAAATTATTCCAGTGGTTAATTATTCTAATTCTTAAAAACGTACACCATATTTACAGGCTGAATTTGTCTAGATTCAACTTCCTGCCACTGGATCATGTTATACCTTTTTCTGCCAGTTGGAAAAGCCTGTTGTTAAATATTTGTTCCCCATTGTAACAATGCTGGTTCTGGCAGGATCCAACGGAGAGTATCAATTCAGGACAAATTGCTTCAAGCAGAGCAGTCACAGCCCAAGGCTGGGGTTTTTCCACCTCCAAGGCAAACCAAACCGAGAAGACTTTGGTTTTACCCCACTGGCTAACCACAAGTCACACAAGCAATTCCCGTAGACACTCCAATTTCCCAGTATCGCCACCAGTGCCACTCGTTATGGCGACAAATGGTTATGAAAACCAACACCCCAGTAAAAGAAAAAAGGTTCTCTCAATTCCAAAGGACCAAGCCCCAGACCCAGTTCAATATACAAATCAAATCTTACCCACAAATCACGCTGTTGCCAGTCCTTTAGAATCTAAAATCTAAAGGTTTATTCATAAAAGGAAAAAGATATAGATGAGAGCTAGAATTGGTTAAATGGAATCAATTACATACAGTAAGGGCAAAGTTCTTAGTTCAGGCTTGTAGTGGTGATAGAATAAACTGCAGGTTCAAATCAAGTCTCTGGAGTACATTCCCAGCTGGGGATGTGTAGAGCTTCCTTGTAGCAAAGTCCCTCCAGAGGTATGAAGCAGGATTGAAGACCAGATGGAGATGAGGCATCAGCCTTTTATAGTCTTTTCCAGGTGTAAGAACACCTCTTTGTCCTTACTGTGGAAAATTACAGCAAAATGGAGTCTGGAGTCACATGGGCAAGTTCCTGCATACTTTGCTGAGTTACAAGGCGTATCTGCCTTCTCTCAATGGGTCAGTTGTATAGCTGATGGTCCTTAATGGGCCATCAAGCAGTCTAGGCAGAGCTAACACCAACTTGTTTGGGATGTCACCCAGAAGCATAGCATAAGTTTGAAATACAGACATTATAGAGCCAATATTTATAACTTCAAATACAAAAATGATATATGCATACAGATAGCATAACATAACCAGCAAACCATAATCTTGTCTTAGACACCCTATTTGACCCCCTTTATACAAGATTTGGTGCCACTACAGGACCTTGGTTGCAACCACGTTCTATACAGTCCCAGATTATGTCAATAACGTCACACCCATGTAGGAACTTATGAATCGTGATCAAGTCACTCCTTTGTAAACTAAAGAGATTGAGCTCCTTGAGGCGGTCACTGTAAGCCAGGCTTTCTAATCCTTTAATGATTCTTGTGGCTCTTTTCTGACCCCTCTCAAGTTTTCCACCATCTTCTTCAATTGTGGGCACCAGAACAGCACACAATATAACAGCAGAGGTTGCCCCAGTGCTAAATATAGCAGTAAAATAACCTTTCATCTTCTACTTGAACCTCCCCTGTTTATGCATCCAAGGATCACATTAGCTCTTTTGGCCACTGCATCATACTGGGAGCTCATATTCAACTGATTATCCATCACAACCCACAATCTTTTTCAGAGTCCCTGCTTCCCAGGATAGAGTCCCCTGTCATGTAAATATGGCCTACATTCTTTGTTCCTAGATGCATACATTTTTATTTAGCCATATTAAACTGAATATTATTTGTTTGTGCCCAATTTACCAAGCAGTCCAGATCTCTTTGTATCAATGACTTGTCCGCTTCATTTTTTACTACTCCCCCAGTTTTTGTGTCTGTAACTGTGTCTTTGTGGGTCACAACTGAGAATACGAAATTCAGGACAAACTGCTGAGAAATAGGGCGGATACACCCCCAAAATGCTGTGGTCATTCTTCCTTAAGATGTACCAAACCAGCAACAAAAGTAAACTTCTGTTTCACCATACTGACTAACAAGAAGTCAGAAAAGCAGTTTCCTTAGGCATTCCAGTCCTTGTATCGCCACCAAAAACACTAGGCTTAGAGATGAGTGGTTCTTTAAAACCAGTTTCATCAAATAAAAGGTTCTTCTGATCCCAAAGGACCAGCCACACACCCAGGTCAATATATAACTCAGATCTTACCTAAAAATCATGTTGATGCCAATCCTTTAGTAACTAAAATCTAAAGGTTTATTTATAAAAAGAAAGAAAGAAAAGTGAGAGTTAAAATTGGTGAAAGGAATCAAATACATACAACAATTGCAAAGTTCTTGGATCAGGCTTGTAGCAGTGATGGAATAAACTGCTGGCTTAAGTCAAGTCTCTGGTTGCTTCCAAATCATTGGAAGGTCCTCGATCCCTTGGTTAGAATGCTCCCATTAATATAAATCCATAGTCCAGAGGCTGGAGCAGGAAAAAGGCAAAATGGAGGTGTTTTCAGGGCCTTTTATAGCTTCTGCCTTGTGGAGGGAAACCCACTGTTTCAAACAAAGCCCTCAGCACAGCCAGTGGAAAATCACAGGTGACAAGATGGTGTTTGGAGTCACATGGGCAAGTCACATGTCCATGCATGATTCCTCTTAGTTACAGTAGAAGTCATTACCTATACTTCAAATAGCACATTCATAGGAAAATCCATTCAGGGTAGATGGAGATCTTCCATTGTGAGTTAAATGCTCCTTGATTAGCTACTTAATTTGAATAGTCCCTTCGAGATGTGCAGGCTAAATACCTTGTGGGCGTTACCCCAGGAACAAACATTTAAAATCCAGGTGTAGAGCCAATACTCTCAACTTCAAATACAAGAATGATACATGCATACAAATAGCATAATCATATTCAGCAAATCATAACATTTCCATAGACACCTTACTTGACAATCTTTGTACAAGATTTGTTGCAAATATATAACAGTGGTTGCAACAGTAATCTATATGGTCATATTTTAATCAAATAATGTCACAATGTCATCTGCAAACTTTATCAGTGATGATTTCAGGTTTTCTTCCAGGTTATTGATAAAATTGTTAAGTAGCATACAGCCAAGAACTGATCTCTGTGGGACCCCACTAGAAACATACCACCTTGATACTGATTCCCTGTTTACCATTACATTATGGTAACCTATCAGTTAGGCAGCATTTAATCCATTTAATGTGTGCCATGTTAACCTTGTATTGTTCTATTTTTTAATCATCATGTTGTGCAGTGCCAAGTCTAATGTCTTTTAGAAGTCTAAATATATTTTATGAACATTATTACCTTTATCAACCAAACTTGTAATCTCAACCAAAAAAGATATCAAGTTTGTTTGAATGGAACTATTTTCCATAGACCTATGTTGAGTGGCATTAATTATAGTTCCTTCTTTTAATTCTTTATTAATCGAGTCCTGTATCAGCTGCTCCATTATCTTTCCTGTGATCAGTGTCAGACTGGTATAACATTAAGGGTACGTCTATACTTACCTCTGGGTTCGGCGGTAAGCAATCGATCTTCTGGGATCGATCCCGGAAGTGCTCGCCGTCGACGCCGGTACTCCTGCTCCGCGAGAGGAGTAGGCGGAGTCGACGGGGGAGCCTGCCTGCTGTGTGTGGACCTTTGGTAAGTACCTTTAAGTTCGAACTAAGGTACTTCGACTTCAGCTACGTGAATAACGTAGCTGAAGTTGCGTATTTTAGTTCGAACTGGAGGGTTAGTGTGGACCAGCCCATAGTTGGCAAAGCATCATAATCCGGCTTGCTGTAGCCAGAAAATGGGTTTCCATTGATAATGGGAAACTGTAATCATAGGTATTTTCCTCAGTGACTTTTTTTCTTTTTCCTCTTGCTTCCATCTTTCAGGACAGGTGAATGGTAGACAAAGAGGAGAGAGAGAGAACAGCAACAACAACAAAAAACCCTCTAGCTGCATGTTGCCACAATACTTAAATGATCAAGAGTAATAAAAATGCTCAGTTTCTTAGTCTAATTTTTCACTAGGAGGATATCTTGAAGTTGGCTCACTCCAGAAAATGGTTTATATACTCCCGTGTTTTTGCTGATCTACAGATTTGCATGTTTGTGTTCTTTCCTTCTTGAGATAGATGAACTTTCAAATATTTGTTTCAAGTAGCAAATATAGTTGTTTTTACTTGATTTCTAGGTGTCAGATTTAGTAATAATACTGAACCATGAAAGAGCAGTTGAAGCTTTTGCAAAAGGTGGCAATCTTACACTTGGAGGAAATTTTACAGTGGCAATTGGGCCTTTGGGAAGGTGAGTAGCATTCAAATATAAAATTCAAGTAATGTGTTTTAAATGTATGTATTAACAAAAAAGTACTTCCATAATCCTATTTAAAATATACTTGTAAATTTTATTTAGTGTATTCTAACAAACTGCTCAATAATTTTGTGGCAAACCTGTCATTCGCTTGGCCAGTGTTGTCTTCATAGTATTATGCCACTTTAATTGGATACAGATTGTGCGATCTCAGTCAGGTCTTGTGTTTCTCTCAACCAAGCCTACAAAAAGGAATGGGAAAGAGGAAGCCTAATAGAAGTTCAGTCTAGCTTAGATGGAGACTGTTTGTAAGTGGAAAGAAGAATTGATTGCCTCTTTCTGTGTATGATTGAGAGAGATGAAATCAGCTAGGTTCAGAAAGGCCCTAGAATTTGAACATCTGGGAACTAATACAGAAAGTTCTTAGTGGAGGGCCCTGAGTTTTACGATTAGATTACCTTGTTGGTCTATCAGACCCCAAGTTTGTTAGCCTTGAGCCAATTTAAGACTCCTCTTTTTCACTCAGTCTTTTGCTTGAGAGAAATGACTGTGGGGAACATTCTAACTTTTATTCTGGTGTGGTCATTTGTTTGGGTTGACCAATTGTTTGACTGTTTTAAAGTCGGCAAAAAAATTCTGTCAAACCCATTTTTTGACAGAAAATTGGGTATTGATTAAATGATTTTTGTGAAAAGTGTCTGCTTACCACAGATTTTTGGTCAAAAAACCAAATAACCATAAACTGAAGAAAAAAAATTGGGGCCAAACTAAAAAACTTTGATTCAGTTATGCTTTGCTGCCTCATGGAAGTTGCAGTTCTGTTGCGTCAGGTCCCCATTCTCCTCTTTGGGCCAGGTTCCACAGCTGGATGTCATTTCTCATAATGCACCACAGCCTTGAGACTCCCATGATGCACCACCCCCAAAGAGGGGAGAGAGTGGTGCATCATGAGAGTTGGAGTCCAGTCAGGGAATCCAACCTATAGAAGAGAATAAGAGTATAAGGCACCTGAACTACCGCTCCCATGAGACACCACTGCAGCATTTCCACATAAAAATTTTTTTGGTTTTCACTCAAATATTTCACGAAAGTCAATTTTTTCCAGGGAAAAAAACATTTTCTGACCTTTTTTTTTTTTTTAAACATCTCTACGCAGAGGTTGTATGATACACATTTCAGTATGAAATTAATACATAATACAATCTTCCTGGAGCTGTACTGGCATGAAGTGATGATGCTGATACAAAAAGATTTATTATAGCAAGTCATTGTATACAGTAAGTTGTATTTTTAAAATCAGTTGTATTTTATTTTGCAGTATAAGAATGAAAAGAATTTACCAAAGGGAAAGGATAATAGAGTTTTTTGGGGGATCTTTAAAAGCCTGTTACAGAGCACTTTTTATAATGGAAACAACTATTTTAAGTGTCCTTTTAAACAACATCACATTTTTTATTCCAAATATTAAATGAGACTCTCTTCATACCAGAGGTTAATATGGGGAATATTTTGCCGTTTCCTTGTTTGATTTTGCTATTTCCTTGTTTGTTTACTGGATTTAGCAATTAATATTAATCATAAATATGTTCTGTAGCATGTTAGATTTTCCCCATGGCTAGGTTGTTAAATCAGAATGCAATTCATATTTTGATAACAGATGAGGGTTATGTTTTTTTATGGTTATAAATGTCATACTGTAATGTAACTTAAAGACTAACTTTATATTTTGCCAGCTCCTACCTGTTCATTCTGAAGTCTTCTTACTTCCATCCTGAGCCTCCTAATAACTCCAAGGAATGAACAAACACAAGTCTTGGGGTTGCAGCAGTGGTTGCATACCAAGATCTCATGCAAAACTGAGTTTCTGCATGTAATGTATTCTTTCCTTTACTCGAGGAGCTAGATAGGGTGCCATTCCATCCCTTTACCAGAAGTACTCTTAATATGTATAGGAACACATAGCATTCAATCTCCTACTTATTATTTTACATTGCTTAGAGATGTATTAGGTACCTCGCTGCCCTAGATAGCTTGGATTATTTATGCATATGCTGTGATAAAGGAGCAATAGCAGAATGCTCAGGGTTTGGATAGAGGAGAAAAGACTAGGGTCCCAGGAAAAAGCATATGTGGTTATTTAGGAAAGGCATGTGTACACATGGCTGACTGAATAACTTCTTGTGTAGGTTTAATAAATATGAATATCAAAGAAATACTTTGCAATAAAAAAATATCTTGGTACACTGACTTTTTGTGAGCATCTATATTGGAGACCAAAGTGAGACCTCCCTTTGAAGTCCAGCATTACAACTTTTCACTTCTGACATTTAAGAGTAGTGCACTTAGTTGCAGTAAAAACGTTGAACTCTTGCTTTGCCCTTGGTTCTGCCATATGCTTAGAATAATTCCATACGTGATATCTGACTACACCCTCTAGTTGGTCATACCCTGGTTTTGGCCAGTTATAGGTTATGGCACAGAATCTGGCAGGGCAATTTTCTTTAAAAATAAATAAATCTGATACCCTTCTTCTGAACATAATAGCAGAAGTCAGTTTTAAAGATGGATTTCAATGAGGAGGCTTAGTAGACCAGCTCAGGAAGAGCTGTTCCATTTGAGATGACAGCATTAGAAAAATATGAAAATGATTGTGGGAGAAACAAACAGGGCACCAAGACAGAATGTGGAGAGGTAAATAGTGGTGTCCTCCAGGGGTCTGTACTAGGAGTCTGTATTAGGACCAATGCTATTCAACATATTGATAAATGATCTGGAAAAGTGGCAAATTTTGCAAAGTTACTCAAACTAGTTAAGTCCAAAACAGACTGTCAAGAGTTACAAAGGGACCTTACAAAACTGGGTGACTGGGCAGCAAAATGGCAGATGAAATTTAATGTTGATAAATACAAAGTAATGCGCATTGAAAAACGTAATCCCAACTGTACATACAAAATGATGGGTTCTAAATTACCTGTTTCCACTCAAGAAAGAGATCTTGGAGTCACTGTGGATAGTTCTCTGAAAACATCCACTCAATGTGCAGTGGCAGTAAAAACTAACAAAATGTTAGGAACCACTAAGAAAGGGATAGATAATCAGACAAAAAATATCATAATGCCTCTATATAAATTCATGGTACGCCCACACCGTGAATATTGCATGCAGATGTCGTCGCCTCATCTCAAAAAAGATATATTGGAATTGGAAAAGGTGCAGAGAAGGGCAACAAAAATGTTTAGGGGTATGGAACAGCTTCTGTATGAGCAGAGATTAAAAGGACTTGGACTTTTCAGCTTGGAAAAGAAATGACGAAGGGGGGGATAAGGAAAGAGAAAGTGAATACAATATACAAATTAAAGAAGTTTAAAATCAGAAATAGGTGATCTAGAATGCCTTGCAATGTACTAGGACCTTTATGTAATAGTCATTATTGATCCTTGGTGAAATGACAAAAACAAACAAAAAAACAATGGAATACAATAATACCTGGTTACAAACTATACTGGAAAGATAGACTAGGCTGTAGAGGTAGGATAGTAGCACTGTTTCTAAAGGATTCCATTTAATTTAGCCAGATGAAAATTCTGAATGGAGAGAACGACCCAGTAGAATGGATACAAATCCCAAAATGAAAGATTGTGTATATTAATAGGGCTATACTACCAGTCTCGGGATCAAGAATGAAACAGAGTGTGCAGAATGTTGAGTAAGATCAATGAGGCAGCCAAAATCTAACAAAAGTATGGTAATGGAGAATTTTCAATGATCCCCATATAAAATGACACAACAGGACAAAGTTGAGAGAAAATGTCTGAACGCTTTAGGTAGTTGTTTCTTGAAACTACTACTTCTCGAACATGCAAGAGGAGCAATTTTTGACTTAATCGTAAGTAATACACAGGAGCTAATTCAAGAAGTGACATTAGCTGAGCCACTGAGCTATAATGACCATGACAAAATTAGGTTCAGCATCCAAAGTGTGACGTTTCATTCCATATGATTTTTGAAAATATGCTAATGGGTGTGAATACTGTATAATGTAAATGGAATATGCTTCATGCAAAAGATCTGTTGTAAGGAATCATTACAAAGTTTATAATCTACTGAGTGTGGGCATCCAATTTGTATCAATGTATCAGAAACTAGAAATATGAAATATAACTCTGAGGTCCTATCGTAATTATGCAAAGTGTGGGCCATTAATGGTGGTTTGGAATCTTGATGTCTCCCATCAACTAGGACAATTGGTTGTAAATAGCTCTGTTTACCTGCAAGCCTTCCTGTGAGTCAGGCCAGGAAGAATGAAGGCTTGGGGTCTCCCAGGACATGTGACCATGTCACCTGGTACTGCAATCCATCTTAAATCAGGTTCTTTTCCATTTAGAAGGAGGGGTGGGGACCCAGAGAGACAAAAGATTCCCGACTTGTGCCAAAGCTATATAGGGAGTGGAACAGAACAAAGGGGCTGCAATCATGAGAAATCCCCTAGCTATCACCTGAGCTGGAACAAGGACTGTACCAGGGGAACGGATTGGGCCCAGACTAGAAAGTAGTCTAGTCTGTGAAAGAAGCTTATTGGAACATCTTTGAGAGTGAGATTTTATCTGAAATCAGTTTCTTAATGTATTCGGCTTAGACTTGCGTGTTTTTGTTTTATTTTGCTTGGTAACTTACTTTGTTCTGTCTGTTGTTACTTGGAACCACTGAAATCCTACTTTTTATAAAATCACTTTTTGCTTATTAATTGACCCAGAGTAAGTAATTAATTCCTGGGGGAGCAAACAACTGTGCACGTCTCTCTATCAGTGTTATAGAGGGTGGACAATTTATGAGTTTACCCTGTATAAGCTTTATACAGAGTAAAACAGATTTATTTGGGGTTTGGACCCCATTGGGAGTTGGGTATCTGGGTGCTGGAGACAGGAGCACTTCTTAAGCTGTTTTCAGTTAAGCCTGCAGCTTGTAGGGGATGTGGTTCAGGCTTGGATCTGTGTTTGCAGCAGGCAAGCATGCCTGGCTGAACAAGACAGGGTACTGAAGTCCCAAGTTGCCAGGGAAAACGGGCTCAGAGGTAGTCCCAGCACATCAGGTGTCGGTCCCAAGGGGGTTTCTCTGACCCAACCTATCACAGGGAGATTGAAATGAAATGAGAATGTTAGTCAAAAAGGCCCTAAACCTAAAAGTAAAGAAAGTAAAGTTCCTAGAGGTGGCATGGATAGTACTAAAAACACAATAAGAGTCTCAGCTTATCTTCACTACAACAGTTAGATCAAGTTTGTTCACCTGAGTTCCTTCTTTCCCTGCTGTTTCACCAATAAAAAGAGCAGTGTAGACATGAGAGGCACTGCATGGACATGTAGAGAACATGTAGGGAATATATCCTGGGTATTTACATGTGTAGGGCACTCTGCTCTACCTGCATAAGTCATGCCTCACCATCAGCACTGATATTTATACCCATGCTAGCTGGGTGTTCAGTGTCTGTACTTTACATGCCACCACACTTGTAGACTTGCCTTCTGAAACAACACACTTTAGCTACACAAAATGACTAGATTAGCAGAGGGAATGGACTAACACCTGATGAGTTGTTGTGACTTCAGCTGCTGCATTGCCATTGTGTTACTAGCTTGAGCAGCATTCGAGCTTCAACCCTCACCTCCTGACAGAGCAGCTAGCTCAAGTTTAAACCACCACCTAACTTAAGCTAGAGATATTTTTGTGTGGATGAGAGTCATGTTAGGGGGGGAAACTTGAGCTATACCTTGAGCTAACTCTAAAGTGAAGACGAGCACTCAGAAGACATGCATGCTGTTGAACTAAAAGACAGTGTAAGGCAAGGAGTTTAAACTAATGTGACTTCATTGCAAGGTTTGAGAATCTCTTCAAACAGAAATCCTTCAAAATCTGGAAATCTGACCCTAGTAAAGTTAATATACAGGAGCATAAATTATAGCAGGCAGTAAATACATGGGGAAATTGGAAGGCCAAAATGGATTTCAAAGAGCAAATAGCTAAAGTTTGTACAAATAAATGAGACTGCAACCCTGTCTCATGCTGACCAATGTTATTTTGTCTCCTTGTACTCCTCTGTCCATCTGTTTGTATCCACCTGTTGTCTCTTGTCTTATGCATAGATTGTAAACCTCTTGGGGCAGGGATCTTTTTGTTCTGCTTATACAGGGCCTGGTACAGTGGGGTCCTGGTCCATGACTGGGGCTGCTAAGTGCTACAATAATACAAATAATAAATAATGTAATGTTGATAAATACAATATAATAAATATTGAAGGAGAAAATCTAAACTACTCATACACATTAACAGAGTTCTGAATTAACTGTATCAATCCAAGAAAGGAACATGGGCATCATTGTTGACAGTTCAGTGAAGACCTATGCTTAATGTGCAGCTGTGGTCTGAAAAGCAAACCAGATGCTTGGTCGTATGGGGAATGGGATGATGAATAATACAGAGAATATTCTAATGCCACGTCATCTGAAATACTGTTTACCGTACTGATCACCCCATCTCAAAAAGGATACTATAGAACTAGAGGGGTTCAGAAAAGAGCAACAAGAATGATCAAGGGCATAAAAAGAGCTCTCATAGGAAGAGAGACTTAAAACACTGGTTTGCTTACCTTAGAAAGGAGGTGAATAAGAGGGAACATAGTAGAAGTATATAAAATAATGAATGGTAGAGAGAAGATAGAGCAGGATTTTTTGTTTAACTTGTCTGATTACACAAAAACAAAGGGATAGTCAATAAAATTAAAAGGTGAGAAATTCAAAACTGGTAAGTTTTTTTCATACATTAACATGTAATTAAACTGTGGCTTTACAAAGTTGTTCAAGTCAAAAACTTAATCCAATTCAAAAAGAATTGGATATTTTTAATGGATATCAAGAATATCCAGAGTTACCTTATTAATGTTAGCAAATTTTGGGGAAGAGATGTTAAACCTCATGCCTCAGGGCTTAAGTGATTTTTAAATATTAGAGACTCAGTTGAGACCTAATTTGGGGGGCAGATTATTCCAGATTTGCCTGTTGCAGGGTTTTTACACCTTCCGCTGAAGCATCTGGTACTGGCCACTGCTGGAGACAGGATACTGGATTAGATGGAGCTTGGACCAGAGACAGTATGGCATTCCTATGTATCTATGTACTCCCTTGCAAAACAAAATTCCTGCTTACTGCTCTGCTTCCCAGCATAGCAAAAGAAAATTGATACCAATGTTGTATGCCAACAGTCTAAAGATCAGTGTTCTAGAAAACTGCAGTTCAAACAATGTATATATGGAAAATAGCTATTTTATCTTTAAAATAGAAGTAGTATAGGGCATTGAGTTGTCTGACAATATTTTAAAAACACATCAATTTAAATTTATATTGCATTGTCTTACTTTTTTTTTTAAATCTTCAATGGAAATAATAGGATTGATCAGAGGGAAAAGGAACAGATAGACATGAAGTAAAGGCTATTTACAACCTATAGGTAAAAAATACTTAAATTACAGGTGAACACGTGGCTGCAGCTTAAATCTGCAAATCTATATTTTTAAAAGGAAAATGGCCATCTTTCTGTACAATTTTATCACATCTCCAAAATGGCTCTTTATTTCATTGTCTAAGTGACTGGATAATTTAATTACTGTTTTATTTCCCTACGCATAGTACTTCTCACCCATAGTGCACTTTTACTTTTTACTCCCTCTCAAAATCCAGATGTGGAAAATAAGCAAGGAATGCATTTGTTCAGTTGTAGCAAAAAAAAGAAGCAAAGTAATCGGACAATAAGTAATGCAGATTGTCAGAAATAATTTGATCATTGTGCCAGCGAATTGTAAAATTTAGAATGAGCAATTGTCAATTGCTGTTCATGTTACAATAGCATGTTGATAAGAGCCATGCAAACTTTTTTCTTTTTTGCAGAAATTTAGAAGGTGATGTTGCCGTACGAAGCTCGGCTGCTGTCTATACATACTGCAAATCGCGAGGGTTGTTTGCAGGGGTATCTTTAGAAGGAACATGTTTAATTGAAAGGAAAGAAACTAATCGCAAGTAAGTCCGTTTCAAAATCATAGAATCATAGAGTTAGAAGGGATCGCAAGGGTCATCTAGTCTAATTGCCTGCCAAGATGGGGGATTTGTTGTGTCTAAATTGTCCAAGACAGATGGCTATGCAGCCTCCTTGTGAAGACCTCCAGTGAAGAAGCTTCCACAACCTCCCGAGGCAGTCTGTTCCATTGTCCTACTGTTCTTACAGTTAGGAAGTTTTTCCTGAGATTTAATCTATATTGTTCATGTGTGTTTCTTCCATATTTTGTACTGTATCATCCAATGGGTTACACTGGAATTTTAGTGGGATGGATCTTTAGGAAAATATTCAAAATAAATCTTATAGTGAACTTTGTAGAATTGATATGCTCTGATGTACTACTTTTGGTTGTGTTGTGTTCACAACCAGTGCCCTAATTTGTAAACAAATCAGGGTAAGGTAATTCATTGTTCAGATACTTAAAATGTCTACTGTATTTACAGGGTTAATAGAAAGGTGAATATTTGATATATATTGGTATAGTGCAGTGGCGGGCAACCTGTTGCCTGCGGGCCACATGCAGCCCATCAGAGTAATCTGATTGCGCTGGCCCGCCACTTCCTGCAGCTCCCATTGACTAGGAACGGTGCACCGCGGCCACTGGGAGCTGCGTGGGACCGTGCCTGCCAATGGTCAACATCAGCAAAATGTCTCGCTGCCTGCAGTCAGATTACCCTGATGGGCCGCAGGTTGCCCACCCCTGGTATAGTGGAACAAATTCTTTCCTTGGAATGATTTCAGTAGAAATTGCAGGTGATTATCCAAAGCAAAATTTGGCCCATGGTATCTCCAAAAGCATTAATGGTGGAATTTGAGTATTGGAATTATATTGCCTCCATATGAACATTTATTCCACTGTACCATGCCAAAAGTTTATTTCCGATGTGAGTTATTTATGTCTTTTTTTCCATTAAAACAAGCTTTTGAACTTCTGAGGTATTAGATTTGGCAGGGAATGGCAGATATCTGGTTCAATGTCCTTTTAAAAAATAAATTAGGGATTGTGGTTTAGAGCCCAACTAAAGATGTTCAAGAGCTGCTTCTTACTTTTTTGTTTTGTTTTGTTTTGTTTTACCCGTAGCTATCAAAACTGTCAAAATTGAGATTTAGGTCCAGTTTTCTAAATCTAAAAATTCTTTTCCATTCTAGTGCCATTGTTGTAAACATACACATACCAGATTTCTTTAACTTTATTCATAGTAGCAGCCGTGTTAGTCTGTATCCATAAAAAGAACAGGAGTGCTTGTGGCACCTTAGACACTTTTGTTAGTATCTAAGGTGCCACAAGTACTCCTGTTCTTTTTAACTTTATTGTCAGCTGCTTTATAAAATGATAGCAATATTGTAAAATCAAAATTATACATAGATAATATGATAAAACTAAAATCTTTCCAAAATACTTTATTTTTCATCCCTCCTCCCAAGAAAATTATACATTTACTTTAACACATGGTTCCAAAGATAAACTAAAATGCAAAGAAATGAGGTTTTCCATGCTGTATTCTGACAGGTTTGAAATCTTGTTTGAGTCAGACCACTTGGTTGAAAATTACATTAAAATAAAACCAGTCTGAGTTGGAGACAATTAAAATTTGTAATTGAATATGTCTCCTTTTTCTAAAAATCTCCCATCCTAGTATTGCTGTTTATAAGAGTAAAGGTTTTTTAAAATCCCAAATGTATTGTACCAATTTTAAGCTGAGCAGTAGCAAAGGCATTAATTCATATTTATTAAAAGCTTGGTTTTGACAGGCCCTTATGTGAGTACATGTAGAAGATATGGGGGGGAGAACCTGCAAGCATGTTCTCCCCTTGTACAGCCGAGGCAAGGCCAGAAAGCAAGATGCACACACAGCAGACCATGCTAGTGGGTGGGTCCTAAAGATTCGTGTACCCTGTGAACTAGGCCACTCAAGGAGTCTAAGTCTGTGAATTAGGCCACTCAGTGAGTAGCTAATTGTATGTGCTTAGAAACAAATAACACATCCACTGAAATGTTTATGGCATATTTGTGAAAATGGATACTGTTGAACATTACCAAGAGTCCAGTTTCCCTTCTTGCTCTAATACGAAAGGACTCTTTAAATAAATAAATAAAATCTGTAATCACAATATAGCAAGAGTTTTGGCAACTTGGTACCACCTGTTTTCTATGGTCACCCAGAGTTATTGTGGTTGATATTAAAAAGGCCACATTAAAAGCCCTTTAAGCTATAACTGTTTTCTGTGAAACCAATGTTCTCTTTTCTTGTTTAATGCTGACTTTCAATGCAGCAGGTGATCCTGCAGCTGACATCTGATAGTGTGAACACAAAAAATCCTGATTTTCCATTTTTTGCACACCACCATGCTTTTCTATAGAAAATGAGCTGCAGCAAAATATTGGTGAAAATTAAGCTGAAGTAATAATAAAGGGAAACAAGTCTGTTCCCTGTACTTTATTGTTCTCAATTTATATTGAGCATAGAACAACTTCTGCCATTCCTTCATGAGTAATCAGTTTAAGAAATCAAGTAAATGTTATTTATACAACATGTCGAAATGGTGCAGTACATAGGGAGTCTTTTAAACTGTAGGTTAAACTAGAAGTATAGCTGAGATGATGATTAAAGCAACTGATATAATTTTTTGTGCTAGATTTTATGGTCAAGATATTCGAGCTAGTGCCATTTTATTTGGTGATGTACCTCGTCTTACTCAATCAGAAGATCTGCATGAAATTCTGGACTCCTTTACTGAACAATATGAAAATGAGGAGCAGAAAAACAATGCAAGAAAAGCAGCAAGGGAACAAAGGAAGGTTTGCACACATTTTTTTCCATATTGGCTCTCTCTGTTGCTAAATCCTTTCATTTACAATTGGATCCAATCCTAATATTGCTGTGTAGATGGCACTCACATTGAAGTCACTGGATATGTTGAGTGCTGACTGATGGAAGGATAGGGTGTCTTTTTTGGGTATACTGTATTCACTCAAGTGCACTGTTCAGTATTGCCATGGGAACCTCCTCCATAGAAGAACATTACTATTACCTTAAGTTTTGCATACTCCAATCTAATTATATAATTCTTCATTACATTGTTTCCAAGAAGGCAACCAGCTTAGAGAGGCATATCTGTATTTGATGCACTAGAATCAGAAAAGTTTATTCAAAATATTCTTTTTAGCTGCAGCTTGATCTTCAAGAAAAATGTTCATTCTTAAGAATATTTGGAACAAATCAGGGTTTTTAGTTCTTTATCTGCTCCTTCTGTTTCTCATCAAAAATTACAACTCTTGGATTGGGCCATCATATTTAATCACTGAAAAGATGCTGAGAATTATGGGACAACACATTATCAATGTCTAGGCAACATTATCTCTCTAGACGTAACAGCTGATGCTACTGAGAGAGACTACAATATATATCATGTATTTTCCACCTTTGTGTTAAAACATCAAGCAATAACATTTTTCATTTACACATATAACTTTGTGGTGAATTATTATGCGGCTATATCGAAATTCGTCTTTAGTTTTACAGTTTCAAATGTAATGACATCAAGAGGCAATATCTGATGGGTTCTTCTTAATTTCTTCTAGATTATCCTCAGGCCTTCAGTTATATTAACCTGTACTTGCTAGTGAGGTGAGATTTTGCTATTTTTTAAATTATTTATTTTAGGCTAATGATCCACCTGTTAAACCATCGTCAAGGCCACAGTCACGTAAGCCACCTGTGTGTGCTGCACCAGCAGGTATGAAAATGTTTTGATAACATGAAATTGTCGCTATATGTGAAAGAAGAGTATTAGAAATACTATGAGTATGATGTTTTTATGCTATTCAATCCCCTTTTCTTGTGTGAGCTGGTAACTTCTCTATAACAGCTTGATTTGTCAAAAAGTGGACTATTTTGGGATAGATTCGTGAAAGATAATGGGTGACATTTTTCTGGTTTTTATCTAGTCTCTAAATGCAACTAAATGTTTACTAAACAGACACTACAAAATGGCTGTTTGTTTTATTACTACATATTGTAGATGACAGCTGAATATAGAAATTAGTGCCAGTTTTACAGTCATGTATGTAATAGCTCAGAAGGGACATTAAAATTAATTGGGTACATAATGGTCCACTTTGTATGATGGATTTTTTTCCTATTTAAGGGGACTGTTTTCTTGTAAAAACTGCTGACTTTTAGGAGGAAGTTAATCTCTTCTGGTCTGGGCCCAATGAGCTGCCGCTTTTCATCATCCTCTTCAAATAGGTAGATGAACCTTTCACTAGGATAGTGTCTTAATTCCTTACTCTATTTTAGTCTTCCTTCTGCCACACAGCAAGTGACGCTCCTGCTGATACTATTTTTTTTTCCTGCAGCTCCTTTCCTATTCTGTTGGGAAAGAGATGAATCAAAATTTCCATCCCTCAGTCCTAGTTCAGTAAATAGCTATTTCTGCTCTCCACCACTCCTTCTTGGCTAACTACAATAATTTGTGGATACTGAACATATATTACAAGAGCAGAAAACAAAGTAAATTGACCTATATTGATATGTTATATAAATTAATTATTTACATTTTCCTGCAGATGTAAAAAATCCACACAAACTTTATCCTGAACTTCCCAATTACCATGCCACTGAGGGTAAGTACTACACTTCGAATTTATTTTATAAAGGTCACATGCAATGGGTGTGAGACTGCATGGGGATATTTTGGAAAACATTATACTTTTTAAAAAAATTCTGTGCTTGCATCACCTTGTCGTCTTTATTATCCAGACTCATCCCATGAGTTAAACAAATCAAGATTCCCTTCTGTTTTTTTATGTTTTAGAAATGTTGTATAAACATCTACCTTTATCTAGTTCCCTGGCTTTTTACTCAGACAGCAGGTGAATCTCACCTTCCTTTCTGTCTCCTTGTGGCCTAACTTCTTACATTTCAAAAATCCTTTTTCCCCATTCAATATACATGTCCAGTCCTATAAATAGTCAGACTATATTTGATGATACCACCTTAATGAGGCAAAAGAGATCACTATGACATAACAACCTGTGTCCAAGTCTACCCTCTGTCCTCTGTGCACAAAGAAGTGTAAATCCTGTTTTATATAAACAAACACCCACAATGGTCAAATCTGATTACCATCATAAGGTTAGTTTGCCATTGCATTTACCTCCTTTCATAGGATTATGCAGTGGTTTGAGATTATAAATCTGCTTTTTGGTGTAACACAGAGATCACTTGTGCTGTGGTCTGGACTGTCAAGTTTTTTGAGGTCAAAACAAGGGCCTGGCTCATTTTCATGCCTAACTTAGGGTTACCATTCGTCCGGATTCCCCCGGACATGTCCGGCTTTTAGAGTTAAAAATAGCGTCCGGGGGGAATTTGTAAATGTCCGGACTCTCCCCACTCCCCCCCCTGCAGAGCACTCGCTGCTGACAGGGCAGCCGGATGGATGGTGCC